AAGGATGTGCCTAGATGACAATGACAAACAGCATGACTACACCCATGCATCAAGAAATACAATGACTAGAACAAAAATGACCAGAAAAAACGTAGTGATGTGCTGGGTGGCTCTACCCATGTAGCTCAGAGGATGGCATAGGTTGGACCCCTTAGCCAGAAGGGGAGCCATTTGAAACTGCCTGTAATAGCTAGGGTCACTGGGGTGCCCGAGTACCAAGGGGGTACATACGGGTTAGCTCATGTGGTAGGTACATCAATTATTACACCTGGTGTCTGAAGTACCCAGGCGACAAGGCTCATCTGGCATGGCTTCAACCAGGGCTGGATGGACCATCTACCTACAGCTGGTGCCTGTGGCTGATGTCTGATAGATCCATGCAGGGTCCACAATATATCTCACGATGGGGTAGTAGGGGATGCACTAGGAAACCAAGCAAGGACAGACATGCAGGAGGGCCCTCACAAGTTTGAAAAACAAGAAGAGGAAGTATATCTCTAATACCCTGAATTCCAAACAGATAATGAGGACATGGATTTTCAACTAATGGCTCCCTCCGCGGGATAGCCCTCCTGGCATTGGCAGTCCGGAGTGTAGTGCAGAAGCAGAGAGTGCACTAGAACGAGCAACTGCCCTCAGTCGACGTACCTATTCTGCAACAAGGTTGTTGTGCATGCATCAGTAGCTGAGTGGGGATATGCCTCGCCAAAAGTGGTGACAGCCCCTTGGGGACTGGGAAAGCTTTGCCCTGTTGGCCCTATCTTCTCGTTGGGCTAGGCAGGAGGTAAGCTGACGCATCTGGTCAGAGCCGTGAGCTCTCCCAAAACTGTCTGTAAGCCCACAATGTAAGCCCACAGATAGCCCCAGTACATGGGCCTCATTGAAGAGGAAAAGCATTGACAGAACTTCAATGCGGCAAACAGAGAGATTTCTTACCTATTTTTGCAGCGATGCTACTCTCAAAGTGTGCATCCGAGAAATCACTGTTGAAACACAGACAAAACCGAAGGCTGAGGGAAAATAACAACTCCGTCAGAAAACCTTCGAACCCCTATGAGCAAACAGTCCTCTTCCTCCTCCTTACAACTCCCCTCTTTTTGACTTCCAAAAACTTTTTTAAGAAACAAGGTTCAGGTTCAATGATGTGCATGTTGTGCCAGTCCTGGGCTCAACAGAGAGATCCTGTACATTTCCCACTATTTGGACTCACCAAACGAGCAGCTTCCATGAAGTGAGGTACCTAATGGACCCTCGGCCACAGGCCTGGATTCATCAAAAGATCACCGGGGTAGAGGTGATTTAAAGACCTAGCACTGGTCCGTTGTATATCTTGATTTTCACCTTGATTAAAAACAGCTGTTTTACAAACTTTCGATTCATGTTGCTCTCGAACCCTACCCTGCTGCTGCCACTAGGCCCACTACAGGTCTCGTCAAGTTCGGCCCCAAGTCATGCGAGTGCTTTTTCCCCTCACTGACTCTCTTCATCCAGACTTACACAACCAATCAGACCTTGTGGTGAGACACTGGTGGAAGGTCGGATAGGATCTTCCCCCCCTCCCTCCGCTCTCTCTCTCTCTCTCTCTCTCTCTCTCTCTCTCTCTCTCTCTCTCTCTCTCTCTCTCTCTCTC